GCTTCGCCGTGTTCCCTATGGGGACATTTAAGGCCCACTGTAAGATTTCACACGGAATTGACGTGAATCGAAAGGTGTGGACCAGACTCACAGAGGTCTTCCCAAATACTCCTCATCTTCCAGACTCATTCCTTCATCATCCTTTCCACAGAAAATCAACACTGGCAATCTCCAACGAGAAGACGTTTCCGCCGTCAGATCTCCTATCGATGAAAGCTGCTGATGATCACCAGTAGATATGTGAGGGGGTCTACCCGCTGGTTTGCCTGTTGTGCCATCAATCACGCCAACCAAAGGAGCTAGTCGAACAGAAACTTTGTTTGCGTTTGTTCCTCGTGCCATGAATGTTGTGCGACCTCCGTGAATACCTAAGAAGACAATACTTAAGCAACTGCCACTACTGATATAATAGTGGAAGAGTGACATACGCCATTGATCAATCGTACTTTGCTGAACGGTAACGGTGAAGTAAGCTGGAAAGATGGTGGTACGCACAAGAGGTGAATCGTGAGAAACCACAAGAGGTATCTCTACAGTACTTTGAAAGGGAGGGAAAGATGGTCGTAGGGGAGGCTTCGACATACCGTAGTGAAGCTCGTGAAAAAGCTCAGCCGAAATCATCTTCTCCTATCGTCGTTCGATCGTGGTCCAGACTGGTGGCAGACTGTCGGTAGTTGCAGTGATATAGCTCTTTGGCTGTCTCCGGCTAGTGAGACTGATTGAAGGGTGCTTAAAGGGTGGCAGTCGACGTCGTGGACGTGTGAAGTAGTACGACAGACTTGCTTTGACGCGATGATGGGTCCATGCGTCGCTCAAGATTGTCAGATCATAGAGGTCAGCTGCAGCATCAGCATCAGCATAATAATTTCGCGACGGAATAGGATTGCTTGTGGCGATCGCCCCTATCAGTCTTTTGGAATGTCGCTGCTTGTGGCTGTGTGGTAAAAGTAAAAGTCGATGTAGAACGTTCGACAAATCCTCACCGATTTATGGCCTGGATCGCCATCAAGCACAAAAAGGCAGGTGCCAACCGATATCCGGTCGAGGACCCGTCTTTATCAGCTCAGGTGATCTGAGTCATCTGACGGCATGTCAGGTGGACTGAATCATCAACTCGATAGTAACTGTTAAACCCCGTACATTAAGTACAACAAACCTGTTTTATTAGGATCTGAAGATCCTGAGCCCGTAGTCGCCGAGATCATATGGTAAATCGCGACTGGCACTTATAGTTCCGATGAACATTAGATTTTTTGGCACGTTGAGCTTGGAGGAGACGGCCTCGACTAGACTGGGAGTGAAACCTCCATGAAGCGCCACCAGATGAAGGTCAACGGTGATGTCGGGAAAGGCTTCGTCGACCAATTTCGCGTTTGCCACCAGCTCAGACCTGTATTTTATCATAATTGGTTAACATCGGGCGATCATTAGGACGATAACCCATAAATGCCTTACGGAATGTCGTCAACCTGGTCATATGCGTGAACGAACGCCACACGGCTGGTATTCTCATTGTTCCGCACGTAAATGAGAGCTTCTACCATTGCTGAGATCTAGTGAACACATTAGGGTTGTCAGCAGTGGCAAACGTGAGCAAAGAAGAAAGGTAGCGCACCGTGTCTTGCTTCATGAATACAACAACTCCTTGGCCTTTCATATCTTTGATTTTCTGTATTGCTCCCAGTTTCCATAAGTGGAACCGCTTTTGAGAAGACAGATAGACGCTTCTCTCGCAAAGGTACACGAACCATCCGTAGAAGGACGTCAACTTCGGATATGATAAGAGGACAAGTATGACGCAGATCAAAGCGACAGCGAATAACGCTAATATCATTGGGCTATGATACGAGTAGAGTTCAGCATATGTTTTGCCTGGGATCTCGACTTCCGCTTTAAGACTTGCCCTTGTGCTATGTTTCCCGCAATGGCGGTGAGGATAACGATATTGGCTGATAGAACAACAGCCAGAGGCGCATGATACGACCGTTTCAACCTATTCCGCGTTATCTTGATCACCAGTCCACATATTGCAAACTGAAAGAGGGGAGTTAAGCCATGGTGTATACTGTAACTACCACAGCCGAATCAAACTTACGGAGAAGAGGACGGCCATCTATACGCACATCAGATTCAGCGTCTAGGATGATTCTCTTGTACAAAAGCGCACTTACGAATGCCATGCTGAACAGGTTTGAGGCTTGCGTTAGTCCAAAGCTTGACGCTGAATATATGACCAGGCAAAGGATAAGGTAGAGTACACATGCGACCCATAGACTCCCTGTTTTCGGTATTTGTTTCTTGAACAAGGCAGGCAGTGCCCGATCACTGTAGGGAAAGTGCCGGGCCTCAGCGTAATCGACACTGGAGCACAGGAAGCCTGGAACTTACGCCGTTAAGCGTTCCACAAGGCTACACGTTGTTACTGCGCCAGTCTGTTAGGGAACTGGTAAATGAGCAATCCCATGAAGGACTAGCGAGGACTGACCAGCACGCCTCCACATAGCTGCATGACAACTTGATCAGTATGGGCTAGAAGATGCGAAAACGGATTCACTTACCACAATAGCAGAATCTACAACGACAATTTTGCGCAACCAAGTCCCACCTGCCACTTGGCCAACCGAACTAAGAATGTTGGCCCCATTATTGATCATTTCGGATGGCAACACCGCATATGTGACGATCAAGACAGAGATGTTGATGATCAACGCTCCTAGAATAAGATTTCTCAACACTGCCGGGTAAGCTTCTGGCCTAATTATCGAGATGTACCTGCAGGCTCAATGGTGGAATACGTGAATATCTTTCAGAGACGGGTTACACTTGCAGTGAGATTTGGCTCACGTTGGTGCCGATTCAAATCCCGTAACCCCCAGGAGGCCGATGCAGATTCCACTGAATATCGACCTGGCAATGTCGCTACCTCCAGACGGGCTCGACTGCCAATTTCGTACAAATACATCACTACCAGCCGAAGCCCAGTGTACGCAAGCCGTGATTACCAGTATCAGAATTGTCACGCACTTGAAAGGGATTCGCGTGTCAGAAATATGGACATTGTAAATGAGATGCGCACTTACATGCAGCGCACAAATACCCAGTGTTACATTGCTGCTTTCACGGACCCCGAAAAGGAGGAGACCGGTGAAGGCGGCAAGGATGATGATGGTGAGTACCAAGTCGGGAAAAGGTAGAGTAACCTCTCCCTTGATATACTGACAGAGGCTAGATGTGAGCGACTGATCTCATAGCGCAGAATGCGTGTATTTACGTACCGATGCGGCTGTCGCAGCAGATACCACACCGGTGGCCACACTGTGAAAAAGTCGCAGAGGATCAAATCTCTTCGCCTGATGTGTTAAGTCACACACGCGCATGCGGGATAGTGACGTACGCATCGACCAAGGTGGTGGCAGCCGCACAAAGAGCCCATCCTTTGCCCGTGAAATTGAGCAGATATACATACTGCGGGAACCAAGTCTGTGAGCGCCGTTTCTATAATCATGTGCCCGAAAGGGGTCTTACACTAGCTCCATCCACTCGGATCGCGCTCCCTAGTTCCAAAAGGATAGGACGGAACAAGAATAGAATTGAACAGGCTACAGCCATGCAGATTGGCGAGTAGATGTCGGCGACAGCACATATTGCTGGCAGGCTGCGGCAACACTGCGTATTTAATCCAGGTATTCGCGCAACGCTCTATATCCCACTCACGAATAGAATACTGATCCCCACACGGCGTTACCCGCAATCGAAGTCGCTCGATATTGGTCCAACTTCGGTCGGTCCAGCTCTACTGCGAGGCGCACTTCGGCCTCTTTCAGCTCTTGCTTGGTCAAATCCAGGTATGACAGCCTAAGCAGGAGTATCGGTCATCTGTTTCGCACTCCCTAAGTCAAAAATGACACTCACTGGCCCCATCCAGCGAACTGCCAGGCGTAGTCTAAATTGTCGGGGAATTTTGGTTTTGAGGTCGCTGCTTTATAGGGACTTCGATTCCGCAGGTGTCGCACAATCTGCGGAGAGCCATTGTCAAAGCTGGGTCAGTATGAAGTAAGGACGCACTTACGGTTTCAAACTCTGATCGAGCAAAGCTCGGTGGCCGGGCCTGCCTGTCAAGGTTGACCTTTGGAATGGCTAGAGTTTATACTTTAGCCTTCTCACTTGTGCGGGAATCATCAGATAGGAGCTGACATTGTCGTACGGTCCTTCTCCGTGGGGTAACGTCCCTTGCTCCAAAATCGTCTACCTTGTCACTTACACCACCTTCATTTCCCTTACTCCAGGTCCGCATCTCTACCGCTTCTTCGGAGATATCCTTCTCGCCATGTTTCCCAGCTTCGAGGTCGACGTACGGCAATGTTAGGGGTGAAGCTTCTCTGCACCTAGAAGGGCTTCCCGCATCATCCAGACGTACCGGCACGTTCCCTCTTGTATTTAACGGAGATTGTATGTTGGATCTCGAAAATCGAATCCGAGAGCGACTTGTCGGACTTTCAGGTTGACGTTTTGTTGGCGTCGTCATCCCTACCGCGCGCTCCATCGCCGTGGATATTTCGAGGAATTGATTGCAGGCGGGTATCTCTTGGACGGACACCTCACAAGGGCCAACGTCGTCTTGAGCGTACGAGAAGGGGAGCAAGCTTGAAAACTCTGCCGGCAATGAGACCCCTGAACATGAGTTCATAACAGCCACACCATGATGACTATCCTCGTAAAAGATCAGCATCATCTTATGTCTCAGATGATTTGTTGATTGCTTTCATTGACAAAGTAAACAAGAATGATGCAAAACGGGATCGCGACCCCTGACCACCTCCTTGACCCGTGCGCCTTCCGAGTGTGAAGTGTAACCTACAAGCTGCTACAAGGCAGGTTTACAACCAAGTTACAGAAGAAGAAAAAGCATGTAACAACAACGAGCGCAAGGGTCCTATCGACTCTGTGACTTCTACCATGCATAGCTCTTCTCCTAACCCCTCAGACACCGCAAAAAGGAATGCCTAAAGTCCGGTTCGAACGAACGATCGCTGCATACCCCAGTCGTGAGGTTCCATCCGGACCTCAGTCGTACAAGTGCAGTGCCTTACCACTTGGCCATTCAGGCGATGATTCCAACAAGGCTCGTTTTGTACACATAACATACAACAAGATACCCTGAGTTTCGCGCAGACTGCTGCCTTGCTAGTACCTTTTTCTTGACGGCCGGGGATATGAGCAGGGGCCAAGGCATGCTACGTCTTCCCCTGCCGGACCGAAGAGAACCTGACCTCTGAGTGGACCGCGACATGTCGAGGGAGCTGTACAGCGAGAAATACCGGAAAGCAGAAGAGGACAATGTATCGGTGTATGTGTCATGTCGACGAAAGTCTCCATGAGCGAGTCTAATCAGCTGTACAGGCTAGGTACCCACAGCAACTAAGAGGAACAAGAGAGCTACCAAGAGGCACTCAGAAGAGCAGTCAGCAAAGGAACCAATATCGGACGAGCTATCGGACATGGATCGCTCGTGTCTCGGAAACAAACGCGTCGTACGAGCCTGCGATGATGGAGGAGCTCCTCCCTACTACTCCCTATTCCCTGACATACCTTTATCCCTTGCTAGTCACCTTCTTCTCAAGTACCCGACGATGATGGCCCTCATCGAACTCTCGAGTATTTTAGCAGGCCCTTAGCCTGACCCGATTCCTGCTTCTACTTTCTGTTCGATACAGCTTTCTGCTACACGCAGTAGACAGACGCGATTGAGCGACCTGACATGAAGCGGTATACTAAACAGGTCAGTTGCCCTCCTTTCGTCCACATATGTAGCGCTGATGACTCGCTTCAAATTTCCACAAACAGATCGACAAGCTCAGCCAGGCAAGTGTCACTGGATTCCGAGACGGCTCCATCAATTGATCACAGGTTCTTTTCTTCCTCTTCGCAGTGGACAGGGGAGCGCTTCTTCAAAGAAGGCAAGACAGAACTGTCTAGCGAGTTCGTAGAGTATGAACGGGAAATAGATCTTCGAAAGAAGGGCATCGAGCGGTATGTTTCTGATGCTTATTGGCTTGAGCTTCTAGCTGTCGACGACCATAAGCTCATTCATCTCTCCGATCAGCTTGCATGCGACGTCCCTACCCTACCATTCCAACTTTTCCAAGAAGAAGCCTTCTGCGGATCCATATCCTGATGCTGGCGCGAACTCCAAAGATCAGCTTTTCTCGGGGGAAGCCCTCGGACTGGTCATGATCTCACACGGAGAAGAAATGCTTCGAGATCAGGTTGGAGATCGGCAATACGCAGAGAGGCTAGAGAAATTTGGGAGAGCAAGATGCAAGATCGCAGTAGTACGTATGACGAGACTTCGGACTTTCTACATAGGCACTTATGCATCGTTGCAGGCCCAGGAAGAGTATGCGAGCCGCGTTGGGGAAGGCTACGTCGCGGGAATGGAGAGTGCGCTCGCCGTGGTGCAAGAGTATCAGGCTATACGAAAGAAATTGGACTCTCGAAGGTATGTACCGCTCCATATATCCATATCTGCGATTCAGCTGATGCTGACATGCCGACGTTGTATTTATTTCCAGACTTGCACTCGACGCCGCCACGAGAAAGATGAATTCGAGCAAGAAGGATTCTAGGGCATTGGAAGAGGAAGTCGATACGGCGCAAGCGAGATTGTGAGTATCGTCTGGCCATCCTCTTCTTCGCTCAACTTATATCCTTCACCCACAGTGACGAGATTCAGGAGGACACTTTGGCGAAAATGGCAACAGTCCAAGAAAGCGAAGCAGCAATGATCAGTGACCTTTCCGACTTTTTGGAAGCCGAGCTTGACTTTGTGAACCAGTATCAGGAGATCTTGGAAGATTTGAAGACGGAATGGGGTAGCGTGTACGTGAATCTCTACCCTCAGCGCAACCCAAATCCTTCGCTGAAGTTATGCCCACGCGATCAGCGGCAACTCCTCCGCATCTTCTACGAGGCCTCGTTCGAAATCGACGTCAGCGGTCAGCAGAGCGCCTCTCTCGCGCACGGTATCCGTTCCGAAGATATCCAGCCCGTTGACGAGACCGGCACTACTGCCGGCACGTCGAGGCAGCTCACGCTCCAACAATTCCGACGACGAGGACAAGAAGAAGACCAGCACAGCCAACCGTGAACGATCAGCAAGTAATGTCAGTGCTGGCGGTCGTGCCAAATCCTTCATGGGCGCCTTTGGATCCTTCGGCAAAAAAGACAAAGGCACTTCCACTCCGGTGGATAGAAGATTCCCGACTATGAAAAAGTACGGCTCTCTTAACGATCAAGAGGACGCGCCCATTCATTCATATCAGCAAAATGAAGTCAACCTCAATGACAATTCCGAGGATGACGATTCCGAAACGCACGGGGAGCTCAGCAGATTTTCTACGTACGGACGTGATCGTTCGTACTCCAATACCAACAAAATGAATCATCATCCTATACCTGCCGTAACAAAGTCAAGGACGCCGCCCGTCGACCACCAGTCGTTCCTTGAGCATCAAGTCCGTGTCTTGTTCGAGTACTCGGGCAAGGCCATGGACGAGTTGACTATACGGACCGGAGATATCGTGACAGTCACGAAGGAAGTGTCGCCTGACTGGTGGATTGGAGAGAACGAAGAAGGAGAAAGCGGTCTCTTCCCGTCAGCGTATACGGAACCTCATGAGCCTGGGGAGCTACATGATGACGGGCTAGATTTCGGCTTTGACGAAGACGATACAGATGACCACCACTCTACCTCTGGGTCTGCCCAGGTCAACGTACCACCGCCTTTGCCGTCTGCGGTACGACCACGAATGTTGCCTCCAAGGACTTCTTCTACTAGTGCACCGAGAAGCTTACCGCCACCGATCACAGGGATCGATAACGCTGCCCAAGCAGACGTCGATAGTAACGGTTATCAGCCTCCGATGGCAAGAGGAACTCACCGTCCAGCCCTTTCCGCATCAAGCCGACTAGCTTCTTCAACATCTCTGTCCTCACAAAGCAAAAAGCCCGCGCCGCCTCCTCCGGCCCGTCGGCTAACCCAGAGCGGTGCCGCGATATCATCTGCAGTGACTAGTCCACCCTTGGACTCGCCATTCGCAACACCCTCCGACGGAAATGTCATGATGGGATCTCGAATGGTCATGCCCACTGCGCTGGGGAAGCCAGCTGGAGCCGCTTCTCGAAAGGGCAGTCATCAGGGCAGTCCCTTTGGTGGCAGTGATGACGAGAATGGACATAGTGGAAACGATCGACAAGGGGATGCTGTAGACAATTGCACGACGTGCGGGTGCGATGAGTGAGTCTGTTCTCTGTTCTCTTCCCCTCGTCGTTTATGACTCTGACTAATGTCAGGAAATTTACAGCTTTACACAAAACGTTTTCAAGGCGCCTGGAACCTGTTCGTCTTGTTTCCATACACATTGATTGACATTATGGTGAGATGCAAGCTGATGGGCGGACGAATGGACAATATATGAACGCCTTGAGGCGGAGAGAATGTGTCGTGGATTTGTAATCGATAGTCGATAGACTGGATGTAGCCTATACACGCTGTTTGGCTTCGGCGAGCGATCTCGAGACCGCATGTCATGTCACGAGTGAGGGCCGCGAAGCGACTGCGACCTTCACTAGCTCCCCTACTATTGGACTACCAGCAGATATAATGCGTATGGTGCTGTCAACAAACACGCAAGTTCCCCGGCTATAACATGATGCTATCTCTTCTCGGCGGCGTGGACATCCCATCGGTCACACGGTCAACGGTGCCCGACGGCTGCGTCACCTGCCCGGCTGGAGACTAATTTAGAATCTTGGTAAGATTCGTAAAGGCCCTGTCTAGAAACGCGCGTTTTGTCAGTCGGCTGGCCTTCTGGCCTTCAATGGAATAGATCCTCCTTCGTCCTCTATCTTCCGGTCGGAAGAGAATGATGAACTGCTGGTTGGTCAGGAAGCAGTCGCTTGCACACCACCTGCCGACTGATGGCCTCTGAAGGCGACTGCCCTTTCCCTCCGACCTCCGAGAGACCTCGCTATTGTTATCTATATAGCAGCAGCTGTGCTGAACCCCACTATTATGGCTTTACTGGAAAGACCCTACTGGTACTCCATACAATTCTTTCTACCTTCTTGTTTTTAAAAGAACACGCCTATCATCTGGAAGGAAACTCTATCTTCTCCTTCGCCTCCCTAATTGTCCATCAACATCATCGAACGGAAAAGCAGCTTTTCGCCTGCAATCCTGTAGGTCTACCTTCATCCATGCTTGGACGTCGTTCATGTCATGTTGACTATTTATCCGCAGGTCGATACACCTTTGCGATACCTTAGTTGTCAGGCCGCCGCAGTGTCCCTCCGGTAGTAAGTTTCCTCCGAAGTCGACGACCATACAAGACCATAGAGAACGGGACCCGGTCTGATCCGCCGCCTCACAACAGCTCGCCTGACTCAAAACAGTCATTAGTCATCCCGCAGGTGACAAAACATACACGCGGAAAATTGCTCCGGCGGGAGGCACTAGCTGTGCCGATGGAAGCAGCTATGGAAGCTCTCGTACGATCGTTGATAATGCTCGACACTAATCCTTTGACAAAGGGTTCAAAGGGCTGGTACGACTGGTATGACAATGTGCCGGTTGATGCGCAAGACCACTCGCAGACAAATACTAGCAACGACTCGACTGCATCATCCACGGTGATCGCGCTCTCATCGACTCACACATCACAACACACTTCCTCGTTCAATGACTCGGAGCCTCAGGGTACGATCGCAGATCAATTACACCTCGACACCTTTGGCGACATTGCAATGAGCACGTTTGCTGCTCTCTTGCCCTCGTTACAATCCGCCTTCTGCTCCAAGACTCGGCTCGCGGAAGATCTCGATACCATCCATGCACCTACCGAGTCACTGGCCACTGAGACAGGTCTTCGAAACAATAACGACGCTGCAGTGCTCGAGTATGATTCAGTCGAGAATACACCTATAGCGACCACTACAAGGCCGCTAGCTCTGCGATCAGCCAGCTCAGCCTCTTCGGACCAAAGTCATAATTCAGCTTTGGAGAGCAATGCTGTTGATGGACTGGTATGGAAGCATGGAGAGAGAGTC